GCTCTATAGTTTTATAATTAAAGTATACACTGTAGCAAAATGACTCAAATTTTCATCTCAATACAGGAGGAGGATTTGAAATGTATTTCCAGTTCCAGTTAATGTTCTTGTTACATATTTACAGAATAGAAAAAACATTACAGAACTGGAAAATGTAAATTTTTGTTCCATGACTGAAATTGTAAACATATCTTGCAACAGCATATAGAAAAGTTATGAAATCTGATGCTTTGAAGGTGGGGGTTGGACTACCCACAACTTATCTGCTTGTGTTGTTTCCTTGGACACCCAAGCTACCAAACCATTCCTAGGCACTGCACAGTTCAAGACATTTTTGGCTGCTGGCTCTGGCCAGAGCACACAAAGGAAAATTTGAACAGTTCACTAGAATAAGCAGTCATGCTTCAATGGTGGAAAACATTCCTGGCTTCCTAGAACTCACTAAAACAAATGCAATTTTTATGTCTTTAGAAGCTTCTAAAGAAAAGATTAAACATCTGTACATAAATGATTTAATAAATGTGAGGTAAATTGCATTCTGCAAGATACTAAAGATCTTACTAAAAAGGCAGTGATACGGACAGCATGTAAACGCTTTTTTATTTTTAACTTACAATACTTTCTTTACACCTATAATGTCCTAAGGTTTGACACACCTTAACTATATATGTATGTAAAAACTTCCTCATTGTATCTTTCCAAAACTTACATGGGCACCTAAGACAAACATCCTCTTTTCTCCCCTCCTCTGAAGCAAATTATTTACCAGCTTTGAACATGTCACAGCTTCACCAGGTAGGATATTTTCTAATTTTGTGTTGCTATTTAACACAGCTGGTAAGACTACGGACTGGTAAACAAGTGTTTATGAAACATTTTATTACATAGTTTACTGTTACAATCACAAGTTAACAAAACCTGACTGAATTAACAGGTGAAAAACTTGCGTTAATCACTGAGTTCCCACTTTTTTTTCTGCTCCCTTCCCCAGCAGCCAAACTGAAAGAAAAATTTCATTATAATGGTCACGAAGCAACTCAGAATATACAGCAAATCTAAACGGTCTGTTTCATTTTCAGATACTTTCAATAATGAAAGAGAAATGTAAGATTCGCAAAGGGACATTAGCGATATTTACAAAACTAGTGAAAAAGTCAATGACTCAATCAGTCCAGTGACTGGGATAGTTATATAGCCAGAAGAAACCTGATACATTCCCCTACTTGCCAAAGAATTCACCCACTTGACACACTGGGCTCTAGCTGGGCTGATTTTTTACAAGCTGTCCTGTAGAAGTGTTTTCCATATAAAATGTGTGTAGTGTAAGCATCCAGCTTCATCTCCACAGTTTTCAAAGGGAACCAGGTCTTTTGAAAAATCTAGCCTTTCAAAAGATCAAAACTGGTTTTAACATCCTTTTATTTTCAGGAAAAATCACTCAGCAAATTCAAGAATGCCCATAAATTATTCAAAGTAGCTTTCTTACTGAAGTAAATCATTTGCCAAAGATTCACCATGTTCTTCTGCACACAGTAACTTCTTTTATGAAAAATAATATACAATCCAATTTGGCGGTTTGTGGAATATGACAGCCCAGAACCCATCTGTTACTGAAGCCAACTGCAAGGCTGGTTATGAATCTAAGCTATGAAAGCAGAATTTTTTTTGGGGGGAGGGAGGAACACAAATGCAAAAGCAGTGAGATGGATGTTACTGTATTGGAGAAATATAGGTAAGAATTGGACCATGAGCTAGACACCAAAAAAAGAAAAGCCTCAGTGAGGCTCCTCTGTAGGAGAAGTCCTCAAGAAAAAGAAAATTATAATTAGAAATCTGTATCCAAACAGATACAGATCTAAGAACAGAATTCTTGAATGAAAGCCCTGTTACATTCAGCTGAGGATTTTAGCACGTGTGCATTTTATAAATGAACAGGAACATTTGAAAGAAATAGCTGATTAAACTCTCGTCCTAAAGAAATATGACCAGTAGGGTTTCAAAACTGAACTATGATTATGTCAGAAATAGATCTTTCAGCATAAAGAAGAGAGGTCTTGTCAATCATATTTATTATTAAATACTATCATATGACATATAAGGTGAACTATGCTGTGATTTGGTGACACAGAATCCTGGGTGGTTTGTGGCATAATTCCATCTCCTCTCCACTTTGAAGAATCAACAAGCATCTGAAAACACAGAGGTGGACCATATGCCTCCCAGTCAGGATAAAGCAAGCATCTTTCCGGATAGGGCAGAATGGAAGAAGAAAAGAGAGACTTCAAGGATGAACAGACTGGGAAGATCAAAAAGGGAATGGGACTACAACAGAAGACACAAAATTCAGCTGGTAACAGACCTGAAGTTCACAGACCACACAGATGGAAAACCCTTAATATAAATCAGACTGACAAACTTGAGAGCAAGTGGAATTAAGAAGTTGCAGTGAAGTGGAAATAGGCAGAAAATAACTTCCAGCATCTCAGCCAAGGGCCCATAGCTAATATGAACTGTCTTGATCATTGGCCATTGTGCAGCCATACTATAACTACTTCAGCTGTATTTCAGTATTCAAACATTCCATTCATAGTTAATGACCATTCAACTAAAGGGGTTACCTTTGGCAATATCTTGTATTCTGTTCTAATTACTGTGTAATATAAATACGTGCTTCACCAAAACCAAACACAAACCAATTCCATAAGAGTGCAAAGAAAAAACAATAAAGTAAAAAAATTAAGATATATTTTTGTACTACTAACCATTACAAACTAATAGACAGCTGATCTCAAGTTCCCCATAAGTCTGTAGTCTTTCTCATTCAGTATTTCCTGAGAGTATGTCCAATATGCTAAATATTCAATCTGACAATATTTCTATGCAGAACATGTATGCTTTTCCCATAATTGATAGTAGCAATATACTAGCAACATAGGAATGGATGAATATTTCAGTATTGCACGTAATAGCCTCCAGTTCAGAAAAGTAAGAATCCAGACAGGGCCCTTTTGTAAGAGACAAACAAAAGATAACACTCAAGATTTTTATGAGAATGGACCTTGTTCAATTACTGGAAAGCTAGTATCAAGAAAGACTGCTATGGTAACTTGCAGAGCTAGGGGAGAGTGCTGCTACCACAGTCTCTTGGAAAGCCCAGTCTTGCTTGTATTGTAGGGAAACCACTGCCTTCCTACCTCAGTGCAGCTGTGCCCAGCCTCAGCACAGGACAATGCATAAAGATCTAAAAACCCATTTACATTTTTGTATTTCAGATGTGCCAGAGATCTTTCTTGTAATGCTTGTTGGAATATTAATGAAATACTTAAAAGTAACTATTAATTTTCCACTAGTCCTTTGTTGCACTTTTCAGATGGTAACCATGCTCTGTAAGACTGTTACGCTATAATTCTGGTATCAATATTTTTTAAGGATTGTTTATTTTCATTTTGTTAAGTGCACATAGACTTGAAATAGACATTTCTATAGCTAAATGGATGGTATGGGTTGTGCAGTTGCTCATACACAATTTCCTATGCTTCTTCCATAGAAGACAACTTTATAAAGTTCAAGTCAAACAACTGGCATTAGGGAAGTACTTGACAGAAGTTTAAACTAGAGCTGGAAAAAGTGTTTAGACCAGAGTGGTCCAAAAAGGTATACCAAGAATATTTTGTTAATTTTAGCCATCAAAACTCAAATAAATAAAGTTGTAAAATAAGAAAGGTGGTGGGTTTTTTTCCTATTCCAGTAGAAAATAAAATGCAGGTATAAGATGCTAAGATCTACCTTTTCTAAAATCTCAAAGAGCACTATGATCAGAAGTAATGAATACAGAATATATGCATAGTTTAATTTTTTTTAACAGTAACCCCTGCTTTGATAAACATACTCCTTAACTGTCCATTATGTAGTTATAATGCTGTCATTTCCAACCAACAGCATTCAGTTTTTGTGACTATATTAAGATGTCATTCACCATTTCATAACTGTCTGAATAAACATCATTTGTTTAATTGCTTCAATGCATAGAATATTCTCCTAAACAAAAGTAGTAATTAGTTATATATCTGCATGATCTTACGATTATCAATCAGTAAGAATCGATCTTTCTTTAGGGAAGTAGGTAAAATCTAAACGATGTAGACCAGCATTAAAATCAAAGTTTCTCACTGCCACGTTAAAGATATATTCTGACAATGTAAATATACTGAATTAAAATCGATCCAATATGTTGTTACCTTTTGCTCCTCTGTCATTTGACCACAAAAAATTGTCACTACAAAGTGGGTATGACACAAAATTTTTCAAGTGTAATGATCTGTTGACACAAGAGGTTGTATGGTCAGAGTGGCACGATGCTGTTTGTGTTCACGAAAGCAGTTCATTTAGCATTTTGAAATTCAATACACATTCCTGGTTTGCTTGTTTGTTTTAATATAAGGAGTTATTTTATTTTTAAAGACGCTATTTCATGTGAGACAAACAAATACCTTTTTAGAGCGGTGTGTAATTAAAGATGCTGACAGTCCTTGAAATAATTCATAAAGAAATAAAATAATGGTAGTTACATCCAAGCCCAGGATCCCAGCATGAAAAGAAACTGCATGTAAAGAAGCCTGGATATTGGACAGTAAAAACATCTAGTGACAGCTGCAATTAGCCTTTCGGCAAACGGGAAAAGCACGTTTTGTTTGGGACTTTCCCCCAGTGAATGTTACCATACGGAGACAGGACCGTACCTGTCCGTCTCCTCCTCCTCCCGTACCGTAGGGCAGGGAAAGGTTCTGCCCTTGCTCAGCGGCGGGGGTGCCCCGGAGGGTGCGGGATGCCCCGCGCCCTGCTGAGCGGCGCCGGCCCGACTCGCCCCCGGCTGCGGGAGGGGCGCGGCTCCGCAGCCCCTCGGCGGCCCCCGCACCACTTTCCCAGGAAAGTTTCCCAGCGGGGCTGCGCTCCCGCGCCCTCCCGGAGCGCTGCCCGGCCGCCGCGGACCCCGCGCTCACCTGTCGTCGCTCTGCCAGCCCTGATCGCCCAGCAGCAAGTCCCGAAAGCGGTACCGCGGGGGCAGCGGGGGCACCTCGCTGTCCAGGTCCACCATCCTGCCCGGGAAGGGAGGGACGGAGGCAGGACCCCCGGCGGCCGGAGGAGCGGCGGGCACCCGCCCAGGCGGGAGCGGGCAGAGCCCGGCGCGGCGGGAGCGGTGCGGGGCGGGCGGTCCCCGCGGCGAGCGCGCACAAAGGCGGCGGGAGAGCTGTCCCCGCTGTCCCCGGCGGCTCGGGGGGAGCCTCACGGCCCCCAGGAGCGAAGTCCCGCCCCGGGGGGACGCGGGCGGTGGCCTCGGCGGCAGCGCGACCGCCCACCCGCCCGCGCCCACCCACCCACCGAGGCAGGCAGCGAGCGCGCCGCCGCGGCGACAACAAAGGGCTGTGCCACCGCCAGGCACACGGGACCGTGCCGAGCGGCACTTGGCTGGGGGAGCCGCCTCGCCCCCCGAGCTGCCTCCTTTTCTATCACCTCGGGCTTCCTCGGGAGCACTTTTCTGCAGGCCCCGAAATTGGAAAAAATGGGGTGTTTTACCTTGGGTAGCCTTAGGTGGCCTGTGCACAGCCCCCCGTGTTCCTGCTGGTGGCTCATCTGACACAGCCGGGTCTGTCTCTTGCTCACCTTTAGTCGGGCACACCTGGTCAGTGCCAGCTCTGGAATCCCGGTGCAGTGTAGGAAGCGTTCGGTCAATTTCTGCATTCGGTCAGTTGGGGGTTGTTGTACAGAACAGGTGGTGCAGGCCCTGTATGAAAACACAGGGAAGTTGGATTATTCCCATGATTGAGATTTGTGGGCAATACCTAAAAGTGGGAGACACTCTAGAAAGTATTGTAATTCCGCACATGACTGATGAAGCACATAATGCCAATATGATTTGATTGATAGTGAATTATCACAGACAGTGAATAATGCTTTAAGATCTGGCCTTAAAGATCCACTTTTATCTAGACTAACTGTCACAGTAATCATCTAATGCCCCACATCTAGTAAATATAAACATTACTACATTCTTTGCAGCCTATTTTGATTTGCTTTCCCAGATTAGGTCTTCACCTAAACTCTTCAGTTGTAGCATTCCTTTCCTAGAATGAAATCATTCAGACCCTTAACATGGTGCAGTTTTCTAGATTCAGATTTTGCTGCATCAGGGGCTAAGTGATAAACAAGAATTTATTTCCTAAATGTGGTTTAAATACCACATATTTAATAAGGGCCATGCATGGATTGAAGAGTAAACCTTCTATTTTCTGTTTAGTTGGATTTCTGTGTAGAAGGTAAAGCTAGTTAAAAGTTGGTGTGGCACATACAGTATCAGCTTAAGTATACCAGCCTGGAGTGTATCACATTGTTATGTGCCCTGCTGAGAATCCAGCTCTGAGCTTCCTGCTGTGAGGCAAAGATTTCTGTAGGTCACCAACAGGTAGTCCAATCCAGGACTCAGATTATCACTGCTGTTGTTACAGCCAATGCATCTCCCCTTGCTTCTTTAGCACAGAGCTCTTAAGCATATCTTCTGTGATTGCTGTTTCTTTACAGAGCTGCAATGTAGTGTCCCAGGTCCTGTAAAACGCTGGGATCAGTGGAGTATGATGCTTACCCTTTTTCACAGCTTGCTGCATTCTGCATTTACAATGTGCTTCTCAGAAAGGCTTGTTAGATGAAGCAAAACAGTTGCCACATGTGTGGCAAGAGTTCAAAGGTAACTTGCTCTTTGCTTTGGGTGATATGGTAAATAAATAAAATAGTGGATTATCTTGCTGGCACATTCTTGCCAGTTTTACCATGCTGTGTTCTGGGGTCAGAGCACTATAAAAGTCTAATTAAAATAAAAAAAAATCCAATGTTTCTTCTTTAGAATATTTGTTATGTGGTGCCCGTTTTTTTCTTTCATTCTCAGCTGCTTCTCCACTTGAATAGGCTATCTCTTGTAAGAAAGCATTGTATCCTCTCTCTGCCTGGGTGTTTTTTAACCTTGCCAAAATTCAAGGTGGGGTGAAGCCTGTATATTATAATGCTTTGCTATAAAAGCAAAGTAGTTAGGCTACTGTAGTCCTTTTCTGAAGTCTACAAATCATAGATCAGTTGGGAAATTATTGGTGTTTCTACTGTATGTTGTAGGAGCCTCATTAAATTTTCCACCTGAATTGATTAATTTAACATGTGTTTTCATACTTGAGGAGCTAAGTAGCAGTAGAAGCTCTTGCACTTTTTCTCCAACCAAAATGTGCTTTAAACTGGTAATAGCTGACTGGTAAATGGGCAACCTGGTGAACAGTTGAGCTAAAAGATTAAAACAAACTCATCACTGAGACTATAGTCATGCAGTTTATATGGAAGCTTAATTTTGTGCTCCTAAGTAATATAAACTCTTTGCAATATAAAATGTGTTTTACATGTCTGCAAGTATGATGCCTGGTTACTCTAAAAAACTCCAAGTGTGTAAAGTTGGACAGAAATGGGATTTTAGTTAGCTAAATCTAATATTTTGATTAGTAACTCAAAGCACTTGGGAAATTTACGTCTTCAAGCTGAGGAGACACTGAGTCATCTGCTTGGAGACAGGTGCTGTTTATCAACTATTATACTGGGTCACCGCACTCAAACCAGGTGTTCCTGCTAACGTGTTTGTGTTAAAGAAAAGCTGTGAGCCACAGCTCAGTTCTTTCAAGGAAAAAATGTAGGTTTGTACTTTCAGGATGATTCTGGCCCTGAGAAGTGCCAAAAGCATCTGTGACCCTGACTTGGAGACTGAAAATAGACTTTAATGAATCTCTTTTTTCTGTTATTTTTGTTGTTTTTTTTTTAACTGGCTAGGTACAGGTGGGTAACTCCAGGTACTTGACTTTCAAGTCTGGGAGAGAGAGGGGTGACTGAGTTTATTGCTAGTGATTGGACATAAATCTTAATCATACTGAGGTATGGAAAGAACCAAAAAAAAGTATTTAGTTTTTCTTTCAGGTTACCCCTCTATCTAAATCTGAATTATGCAGTCTACTGTAATAAAGTAAATCAGATTATCAGGTTAGTCTTTAATATTTTCCTCAAAAAGTTTATGAGGTTTTCTTTATTGTTAATCAGTTTAATTATTGACATTCACTGGGACATTCTTTACTGATGGTATTTATTCAGGTAAAACAAAGCCAAACCTGATTGCAAGGAGTTAGAGAAGAATCTTGTCCATGATAAACTGGCGCATTTGATCCTCTGAAAGTGTTGATGGTCTTCAGCATTGCAATGCTGAAATAGTCCTACCAGACACAGTTCTTATTCCTGTTCCCTCCATTGCTTTTCAATTGTATACCATGACTCAGAGAGTTGTCATCCCTGGCTGATAAGCTTATCATCCTGACCATGGTTTTTATTTTCCTAAATATTATGAGGTTATGGTTGGGGTAACAAAGAACACTGGTAAATAGAAATTTTTAAACAAAAGGTGGAGAAGGATGAAGCGTTTATGAAGCAAATGCACACTAAATCCTTTTAAACAGCTCTGTAATATGAGTAACTTGAACTTATTGTCCTTTCAGGGAAGAATAGTGTGATATTGGCTGGATGGCATTCAGTTAACCCACTCAGCAGACATACACACGACACTTACTGTAAGGAATAGTCTAGTCTGCAGTCAAAAATGGTAAGTGGAAATGCCTTCTTTCAAGAGTTTTCATGTGTATTTTTTATTTGTCTGTTAGGCTGAAAAACTATTTGGCTAAAAAGTAAATAAGTCATTTTTAGGCTTTTTCCCCAGGTGCTCATTTTTTTATTCCTCCTTCCCCCCCCCCCCCCCCCATAATTAAGAAGTATATGGATGTTTATGTTGCAGTTGGGAACTTCTGGAACTTCTGCAAGTTGGTCGATTCTCACTTGAGTGTGTCTGTGTGGCTTTAGGTTTATGACTAGAACTGGGGACTAGAGTACTGCCAGCATTGGAAGTATGGGGATTAGAGTACTGCCAGCATTGGAAGTATGGGAGACAGTTCTGCAGCTTTGGCAGCTGAAAAGAGTATTTAGGGACTCAGCAGTCACAGTTCAAAAATGGTTTGGGGGTTAAACTAGTAAAGTGTACTTAAACAATATTGGATTCCGGTTAGCTGCAATTTCACTTCCAAAATAGTCTGCAAAGTGAAGTCTTCTGCAGAAAAAAAGTGTAATGTCTATAACTATTAAAATGTACCTAGATTAAATTCTGAAAAGTCCTTGTGATAAATATTCCTTATGTCAGAAAACAGTTACAGCATTAAGAAGGTATATTCCCTCAGTTAGAAAACAACATTTTAAATTTTTTTAAGAAATTTGTTAGTATCTTTTTTCCTCTGGCTTTCAGACTACCACTGCAAAAGCAATCTCAAATCTGAAGTACAGGACATAGATGCCTTACCAGACCAAAATTAGGTGTGTTAGACTGAAAGTCACAGCATTCTGCAATCTGAATGGATCTGAGAGGCTAAACCAAACCAAAAGCAAAAACTGGTGAAAGGCGGATTTTGAGGAATCTCTGTCTTTACCTACTGTGGTACAGAATTGTTATTTAGTGATGTGAAGTACAGGACTACATCAGTGGATGTCTTAATGGATTTAAGCTCATTAACTGCAATTTTGACTTTTCCAAATATATGTCTACAAAGCATAGGTATCACCACTGTGCACTGACAGTACTTAGTAATGGACCTAGGCCAGGATGCCTAAGTGGGTATTGAGTTGGAAGAGGGCAAAAGGACTTTTAAGTCATATAGCTTTCTGTTTTACCTTTACCCAGTGCTTGTGCTTCTTGAGGTTGATGGAAAGCAAAAGGATGTTGCTGAACAGTGCAACATTTATAGAACCCACAGAGACTGTACTTTCAGACCCTTACATCCACAATATGTAGTTCTTGTGCATTTACTTCGTATAATCTAACACAATTTCTTGGGCCCATCATTTTACTGTGGGGTAAGGGCAGCCTCTTTTTTACCTTCTTTGTGTTTGTGACCATAACACGAAATCTGTTAGATCAAAGATGAACTATTTATTTCCATTTCAATTCCAATGGTTCCCTGGACTTTGCCTTATTCTTTTGTGTCATTTCCTATCCAGATGATTACTTGTCTTGCATCTTTGCCTAATATCCTCTGTTCACACACATAAAAATTTGAAAGCATCATCATTTTCTTACTTCTCCCTTGCTGCAAGGGAATTGTCACTGCAATCCCACTCTCTTCTTTCACATCCTTTTCTCAAAAAGAACTTGCTAGAGAGTT